AGTCTCATTTTGTAGATAATTTTACTCCCTATAAGCTGTCTGAGAGTCACTTTTCGCTAAAATTGATGGTTTTCCCTGCAAAGTGAAAAAACTGTTTTCCTCACTTATTTGTTTAAATAGAAAAGTTAGCTAATAAAAGTTTTTGACTCACGAGACGAGAGATGTCTTGTATTATGTTCCTTTAGACAATTTTACAATAATATAGCGGCTAGGACTTTTTTCGAGTTTCTCTTTTATTTTCGCTAATTTTCCTGGTGTATTATTTAAGATTCGATTGTATAAAAATTATAGGCATCAATATTTCTCCTACTCCTATATCCTTTAGGAATAAATAAGACCATCGCTTTATTACAGCGATCCGCAAAGAAAAATCCCAATAAAATCTCCAAACAATATTTACCCAGGATAGCGTCTTACCTATAAAGCTGGCCCAAGTTGTAATGGGCGTTGACGTGGTCAGCAGAATACCTTATGGCTGCCAGGAAGTGCTGTTCCGCTTCGAACTCGTTGCTCAATAAAGTTCCCAAATTGTTGTGGGCGCTGGCGTAAGTCGGCCACAATCTGGAAAATTGATAGGAACTGCATTAACCGGAATGATACTCTATTAGGCATTATAGAGGCTTGCGAGCAGATCCGCAATGTTGACGTCTTTTTCTTGAGGGACGATAAAACTGTAACTAAAACCTAAGCAGAAAATAATCCTTTGACAGGATGGATATGTGCTATTTTGATCAGCTCGATTTTTAAAACAATTTTCAAATTTGCAAAATGTTTGTATTTTATTATTACTAATAAATATAGCAAATATGAATTTTATATTTAAAGTTCCTAATTTTTTGGTATTATTTAGTACCCATGTAGAGTTGTTTTCATGATTTTTTTGAAATGTTTATTTCAGAAGTTATGAGCATTTGAATATTTGGGGTTCAAATACTTATAATTTGCTGTAATGTTTGTCTTAATTCTTAATTCAGGCTTGGTAACTTAAGACCTGCTAATTTTCTAATTTAATTCCCGCCGAATCTCAAAAACTTACAACGTCTGTATCTCGAAAACGTATCGATTTGTATAACTAGTATACATTTTTTATTTAGAATTGAACGTAGTTCAATAATTTGTAGTTAAAATTTTCAAAATTGTAAAATACATAAAGTTAGACAGATTTTTACATTGATAGGACTGTTCAGGGTGCCCCGAAATGCATGCAACAAAATTTGGTCTAAGGTTTGGTTTAAGGCAAATTTAGGGTACCCTTATTTTTTCTTTTTGCCAACTGGCCCCCTCTTTCGGAGTTACAGCCCCCTGAAATCTGTCCCTAAGAAGTCTTTTTTTATATCTCACAACCATGTTGTACGAGGATCACTAAATTTGGTACACAGGGGTTTTATGATATGTGGAATCTCACAGTGCTACGCTTTTTGGCGAGAAATCCCCTTAAGACACTTTTTCGTGGACCCCCTTGTCTTTGGAACCAGAAAAATTTGATCGCAATGTTTTTGAGGACAATTGCGAATCACGATATGCATTCGATCACATTTTCACATTTTTTTCGAAAACATTGCGTTTTATGAAAAAAGTATAAAGGGACAAAAAGTTTCTAAATTTAATGGCTTCCTAGTGGACTGATAATTTTTAAGAAATTTAAATTTGCGACCAAATTTTTTCGGCTCCGAAGACAAGGGGGCCCACGAAAAATTGTCTTACGGGGTTCCCCGCCAAAAAACGTAGCACCATCAGATTTCACGTCATGTCATAAAATTCCTGTGTACCAAATTTAGTGATTTTTGTACAACAGGGCTCTGAGATATATAAAAAAGATTATTCTCAGGGGCGGACTTCAGGGGTCTGTAACTCCGAAAGAGGGAGCCACTTGACAAAAAAAATACGTGTTCCCTAAATTTGTCTAAAGAATCTGTGACCAAATTTTTTTGCATGAATTTCGGGACACCCTGTATATCTAACGCCCTCTAGACGTTACCTCAACACTCTTTATATATTCGTATTTGCCTCCTTAAAAAACGTAAAACTACAAAATTCTAAACAATCGGTCCATACATACTTAAAGTATAGATAAAAATAGAAAATATTTTTTCAACTTTAACATCCTTTAGAATAGCCTAGTTATGATTAAAAATTGTACAAAAATTCGTTTCAGATTGAAACTTGGTTTAATCGTTAGTTTAGGCAAAAAGAAATAACATTCCTCAAAAAGTATCGGTTTAAACCAACAGATTTAATCAATGATTATAATGTAAAAATTACCAAAAATTGAGTTTTTTTTGCTGTATTAAAAAGCGTTCTCTAACAGGAGTTTTTGCTTTTGTTTATACTTATAGGTTTTCAAAAAACGCTTCACCTGTTAAATTAAAATCCATTAACAATTTGTTTAAATAATTGCAAAAAACAGCGAAATTTGAATATTCTATAAATAGCAGAAAAGAGCATAAATCATCTCTAAACTGCAGTAAAAGTTATATTTTCTTACGCTTAAGAAACCCTGAAAATTTGGTAAAAAAATATTTATTTGTTTACGAGTTTTTGCATTTGTTTATTAGAAATAGCATTTTTTCAATTGCAAAAACGCTGTTGTTAGCGTTATAATAAAGGGCCTTATGAGGGCTCATTTGTTTCGTCTTGACTCAAGATATGCAATTGGAAATTGTAATTTCATAGGCTATCCTCCTCAAAACGGCGTATAAACAAATAGTGTAATTTGTTTATAGAATGATATTTTTTAAAACCGCTTTGATATTCGTAATCCTGGTAATTTTTCATGAATTAAAAAAAAAATGTTCGAGGACCATTTTTAGCCGAGATAGCGTTTTTTTAATTCATAACATGTTTATTTATAAACATTATGACTTGTAATTTCGGGAATAAATCAATCAACCCTTAAACTTCATAATAACGGTTAAAGATATCGAAAAAATGCATTTTATAATAATTTTTAACCCTTTAAAAACGTCATCGAAAACATTTTTACACCTGGAATATGATGGGGGAAATAAGACAGAAACGTTCCGAGACTTCAAATCTGTCCGAAAATTTTGCAGTATCTCCGGTAATTGTGGACCAATTTTAACGTTTTTTTTTTTAAATCTGGGATAGCGCATGAAAATAATAACATATGTACGGTCCATTTTGCAATAATTAATTATTAATTTGTTATAAACTATTAATTTTGAAAAAAAAAAAAAAAATTTCCGCATTTTTTCGAGAAATAATTTTTCACACTTGTCTTAAAAAACAATATTCTTATGTAAAAAAATTCAGGAAATAACATTTTTTATGTGTAAAGCTTATTTTAATGAGAATCGAAAATTTTAATTTACTTATCTGTTTTAAAATATAATATGTAATTTAATGTTAAAAAATAATACTATTATGCATATTGCATCTAAAAACTCGATTCTCATTAAAATAAACTTTATACATAAAAAATGTCATTCCAAAATTGTTTACATAAAAATATTGTTCTTTAAGAAAATTGTTTATTGGTACCATTGTGAAAAATTATTACAAAATAGTTCATAACAAATTAATAATTAATTATTGCGAAATGGACCGTGCAGTTATTATTTTCATTCGCTACCTCAGATAAAAAAAAACTTAAAATTGGTCCACAATTACCGGAGATATCGCAAAATTTTCGGGCAGATTTGTCACGTTTCTGTCTTATTTCCCCCACCACATTCCAGGTGTGAAAATGTATTCTAGGACTCGAGGACGTTTTTTGAAGGGTTAAAAATTACTATAAAATGATTTTTTTTTCGATATCTTTAACCGTTATTATGAAGTTTAAGGGTTGATTGATTTATTCCCGAAATTTCAAGTCTTAATGTTTATAAATAAACAAGTTATGCATTTAAAGAAAAACGCTATCTCGGCTAAAAATGGCCCTAGAACATTTTTTTTAAATTCGTGAAAATTACCATTAAAACGCAGCTATGAGGAAGTTAGCCTAAGAAATTACAATTTCCAATTCTTGAAAATATAAGTCAAGACGAAACAAATGAGCCCTCATAAGGCCCTTTATTACAACGCTAACAACTGCGTTTTTGCAACTGAAAAAATGCTATTTCTAATAAACAAATGCACAAACTCCTGTTGGAGAGCGCTTTTTAATACAGCTAAAAAACTTCATTTTTGTTAATTTTTACATTATAATCGTTGTTTAAATAATGATCTTGTTGTTTTAAACCGATAAATATTATTTCTTTTTGCTTAAGCTAACGATTAAACCACGTTTCAATCTGAAACGAATCACCTATTGATTTACATGTATTACAAATTTCGTTTACTGGGCTAGAACAAAAAGGAGCAACAACTGACTAAGACATGTTTGGCTCAATCACTACACTGAAAGAGATGGGCTTATTAAACTGTTTATTTAGAATAATGTGTATAGCGCATATTAAAACTTTTATAACCAATATACAACTTTTATTAAAAAAAAAGCAATCATCTCCATACTCCTTATTCAATGAGTTTAACTGGAAGGTGCTTAATACACCTTATGCATCCATGAAATAAAGGTTATAGTGAATTACTTATACATTATTAGGTGTTATAGACTTTATGTTCCAATTGTATAGTAGGGAAGATTTGTTGTATAAAGACCAGCATCCGAATTTGTATATAACAATTATATTAACAGAATTATTCGTTCTTATACCGAATATGTTTCCGTTTTTAACGTGTAAAACGCGTCTTATAATGGTTAAGTGATCGTCACCTCTCGGTGCATAAAAGTCCGCTGTGCATCGACTTACGACTATTACACGTCTAGTTTCATATATTCTATATTCTTCTATAGTCTATATTCATATATTTTGACGTTAACCATCTGCCATTAAGCTGTGTACCATTATTAATGACTCACCCCGTATAAAATGTATTTTTAATTACTTTTGGACAAATTGCTTATTATCCTTATGGGTTTGGATAAATATGAATTACTCCTTATACTTTAAAATTTAACACTCACTATTTTGATGTGATTTTAGAATAAAATTGTCATAATTTTAACAACATTCATAAGTATGGACATGAAAAATCACTCCGAATGTTATTTTAATGCAACATTTAACATTATACTTTACCAAAACGAACAAAATTATGACTTACTTGAGCGCCCTGTGGTAGTGGGTCTTAGCCAACTCCGGCCTGGCCGAGTCCCTGAGGAAATTGGCGTAGTTGTAATGCATCTTGGCGTTGTGGGGGAGCGTCATCAGGCCGGCCCTGGAAGAAAGGCGTTTGAATTGACTGGCTCATTGTCGGGAGAATAATGGGATTATTGTCCATGAGTGGGATAATTTGTGCGAGCGGTCTGGATGGAGGGTATTCAAATTCTGCGACCGGAGGGTTGATCGGGGGCGATAAATCTCAAACTCCCCCCGAGTGAACCAGGTTGTGTGTTTGTAAAATACGGAGCGACCTCGATCCCCGGCCAGAATCACAAATGGGCAAAAAATATATTTACATACATGCGGACAATACATAAGTTGTTGAAATTTAGAAAACATGTATTCTTCACTTCTTAAAATTAAGTTCACTTGTCCCAAAATTTTATCTCCTTCGATGTAGGACTTTTAAGTAATTGAGTAATGGTGTTGTTGAAGAAATTGGCCAAAAAATGTTTATACAGGGTGGTCCGTAAGTAATGGTCCATAGAGATATACTAGATTTTTTATTTCAAAATATTACGATTGGAGCCAACATGTCTTAATAAAATGTTGATAACAAAAAAGATACAGGGTGTCAAAGTTGGAAATTAAAAATTGAATTTTCGTAATAATTATAATATTTTTGAGTGTATGAACGTGAAAATTTAGGGGTAGATGTTTCTGTATACGAGAAATCATAATTTGTTATCTATTTCAATGTATCTTCTAGAGGGCGCCACATACGTCGTGTTTATGACGTAAATACGAGCATAATTTTTTTTATCCACAACGTTAACGCTTTTTTTTTTAAATCTTAAACCTACATTATTTTGAAAAAATGGTATACTTGTCATTAGCTCAAGAAATTGTCCGTTTTCAAGAAAAACGCATTTCAACAATCTGCTGCGCAATGTGAATATTGCAGAAGATTTCCAAACAGATTGCAACCTGGTAAACGACTGTTTCAAAATCTATTCAGAAACTTAGGCGAAAGTGGTTCATTTCGTCCTAAACGTGATAATTTAGGTCGACCAATAATGATTACGCCTGACCAGGAAGACGAAATACTAATTCGCATTGCAGATTATCCACAAACTAGTTCAAGACGATTAGCTGCAGCCACGGGAATTAATAAAACATCAATTTTAAAGACATTACATGAAGAAAAATATCATCCATATCATTTTACACCAGTTCAAAATTTATTACCTGTCGATCTTCCTTCAAGATATCAATTTGCAAGTGATATTCGGAACAAGCAGAATACTGACTATACATTTGTCAACAGAATATTGTTTACAGATGAAGCGACATTTACTCGCCGAGGTATTTTCAATTTAAGAAATAAGCATTGTTGGGAAGTTCAAAATCCTCATGTAACTCGAGAACGGCACTTTCAACATGAATTTAAGATTAATGTTTGGTGTGGGATCATTGGAAACCATTTTCTAGGTCCATATGAGTTGCCAGGAAATTTAAATGGTACAAGTTATTTAAATTTTTTAGAAAATAGCTTTGTTGATCTATTGGATGCGTTACCACTGAATTTGAGGCAAAATATGTGGTTCATGCAAGATGGCGCTCCGCCACATTTTACTCATCAAGTAAGAACATATCTAAACCAACACTTTCCTGAACGTTGGATTGGCCGTGGTAGTATATTTCCTTGGCCGCCACGTAGTCCAGACTTCAACCCTTTAGATTTTGGTGTATGGGGCACAATGAAGGAAATTGTTTATAAAAACACCATAAATACTCGCGTCCAACTTTGGCAAGAAATTAGTAATGCTTCAACTTTTTTTGATCCAATGGTATTATTTAATATTAGACGATCTTTCATAAATCGTATGGACAAGTGCATCGAGGTGAATGGTGGACATATTGAAAATTTACTTTGAAACATTTCCTATTTTTCCTTAGGTACATATTCAGTTTTTTACTTGTTAAACGCTTGATAAAATCATAGTTTTGTTTAATTAAATTTCTCCTTTAACTGGTTTTGTAAATAAAATTTATCAACTTGATAATTTGTATTTTAATGTGTACAAAGGGATAATGTTTAATTGTCAAAATTAATGTTTTCATTAGCGCACACTACGATCAAATTTCCTGTAATGAAACATGCAGCAGATTGTTGAAATGTGTTTTTCTTGAAAACGGACAATTTCTAGAGCTAATGACAAGTATACCATTTTTTTCACGAAAATAATGTAGGTTTAAGATTTAAAAAAAAGAAGCGTTAACGTTGTGGATAAAAAAAATTATGCTCGTATTTACGTCATAAGCATGGCGTATGTGGCGCCCTCTAGAAGATACATCGAAATAGATAACAAATTATGATTTCTCGTATACAGAAACATCTACCCCTAAATTTTCACGTTCATACACTCAAAAACATTATAATTATTACGAAAATTCAATTTTTAATTTCCAACTTTGACACCCTGTATCTTTTTTGTTATCAACATTTATTAAGGCATATTGGCTCCAATCGTAATATTGTGAAGTAAAAAATCTAGTATGTCTCTATGGGACATTACTTACGGACCACCCTGTATACAGGGTGTCGCGTTTAAATGTGGTATTTTGTATTTTTCGACATCAAATTTTTTTTTTTTAGAATGTAGGATAAAAAAACTTTATCTAACTGTAATGCCGCTGTTTTTATTAATGCAATTCACAGCCAACTAGAACGCGTTTTTTTGACGTCAAAACAGCTAATTGGTATTAGCGATTTTTTTTCCAAAAAAAACAGATTACGTATTCTCGTTCAGCATCCCTTAGAATGTCTTATCACCAAGTTTCATCAAATTCGATACATCTTCAGACCAGAACTAGTTGGCCGTGTATTGCATTAATAAAAAACAACAGTATCACAGTCAGATAGTTTTTTTACCCTACATTTCATAAAAAAAATTTTAAATCAGCCAAAAAATAAAGAAGCTACAGGCTTGTATTACATTTTGCGACATCATGGCGTGCTTGCCTAAAGATGTATCGATTTTAATGAAACTTAGTGGTAAGACGTTTTAAGGGATGCTGAATGGGAATACATATACTGTTTTTTGGAAAAAAAATCGCTAATATCAATCAGCTGTCTCTTCTTGCAAGGAACAGCTATATTTTCCTTGGATTTTCCTCGCAATAACAAGTTTGTTAGATATAGAGTCCTCAACATAACTTTCTGCTACAGAGAAGCTCCTTCATCCACCGCACCGTTTGATGGTTGTAAGATCAGCACTTTTATTGACCAATAAAGTTGTTGAAGTGCGCCTCATACAATGGCCAATATATGTTTATGGATTTCCGATATTTAGGAATGAAGCAACTATTGAGGATACCTTCCCGAGTGTGTTGATTCCAACAGGCTGTGAAGTACATTTTTGACTGATGTATCTTAAGGAGAATCTGTCGGGACACGAGCCGTGCTATGGCAATAGAGAAGCTGACAAGGTAGCCAGGAGCGCATTGGACCTCAATATTTTTGCTTCCGTTGTCGGCACTTGCTGGAATTATTAAGGAAGACACCCACAAAGAATTCATGAAACGGTGGTATGAAACGATTACCTGTCACTTCGCAAAAGGAGCTCTTAGTGTATCCTAGGCAAGGATACAGCCAAAAAATACCTGGCCATGTCTAGGTCAAATCTTCGCTTGGTGACAGGAAACTCTTGGCTAAGCAAACACCTTTACAATATGGGGAAGTGTGAAACACCTTTGTAGGGGCTGTGAACAGGAAGACGAGACAGTATTGCATGTGAATGCACTGGCCTTCAATGGCCTATATTAGAGAGATCCCTCTGAGCAACGTCACCACCTTTTCACTGTAATAGGCTGACTGGCGGCTCAGGTGGATTGATCTCTCTAATGGGAGGAAGTATAAGGGGCCCAATGGGGCCTAAGTGCTGTAGCTTTGCTCCCCTCCCCACAACTCCAGAAATCCAGAAGAGAATATGTCTTGTGTTAGGTAAATTGGGCGCAGAGAAATATATTTCCTGCATATTTCGACAGCATTCACGCAAACTCCTTCTTCTATAATTGTATATTTTCTTGAAATGCCTTTATTGGTGTCACGTATTGAAACAAGTAGGTAACTGCCAAAGTCCTGTATGTCACTAATTTTCAAATTTGTCAATTCGCAGTATCGACAGGTACAAGAAACTTCCATTATTAGTGCAACCTAAAATAATTCAAAGTTCGCTATATATCTAATAATGTAAAAGGTAAACAGATATTATCTTTATCATCCAATACTTTTTATCGGAAGCCCCAGTAAAAAATTCTTCAATATGTGCTATTTCCAATACTGCAGCTTCTTTTTTGCTTTGTATCCTCTCGATTAATAAGCAGTAAGCTTGTTATATTTTCCAATATCTATAATTTTGTAGCTTTCAATATCGAATACTTCGACGGCATAAACGAAATTGCATATTTTTATCTTCAACTTTCAAAAATACGATAGCATAACTTCTTCATTTACTGTCATTACTCTCCGTTTTCCCCACCATTCATTAAATACGACGAACATTTTTTCTTAACGTTCCCTGGATTTCGCTGGCAATAAATGGAAAATTGCTTCTTGAGCTTCTTCAAATGCAGCCACAAGAACACAAATACTTTCTTGTATTTTTACCAAATTCAGATAGAACTGTTCATTAAATAATTGATAATAAACAACGTACCATAGCAACCAGTAGGTACAACACAACCTACCACGTTTGATTGAGTACTAGTAAGAAATATCAAGTCGTGCGAATAATTTTTTTTATTAAATTTCAATAATTCTGACTCCACAAATATGATTGTGATGTGATTATGGATAAAACGTTGTATTGCATTCGTGTTTTAATTGCCATTTATTCACTTAAGAATATTAAACGCCCGAACTACGTTCTCGCGTTTAAACATTCTTGCGTGGATAAAATGCTACTTAAAACACTTAAATAACTATGTTATCGAATAAATATCAAAAGCTAATTAAATAAGAATATTAAAAATTGTCCAACTTTGAACGGTTCTATCACTTTGCATCAATGTTGAAATACTAATACGTATCGGTACAGTTTCTTGAATTTA